TTTAGTAAGTGTAGGGATTAGTGGAGTCGGTAATTATAGAGGATCGAGTTGACCCAAAAATTGATTGTATTAGGTATTTAAATTTTAACTTAGACCTACTATGTTGTATCATGCAAAGTGTTGGACTGTTAAATGACGTCATTTCCATGAGATAAAAGTTGGGGAAACACGAATGTTAATAAATGAGAATATGGATCAGCAAATAGAGATGGTACCAATTGATATATACAGAGGAAAGGTCAACTTGGATGGTTAAGGCACCCTTTGCTTAGACCAAGAAGTTCTCGTCACAAGATTGATATGATTCTAAATTTCTAGTAAAGCATGTTACATGAAGAGGTATACCAATATTAACATGAGTTGTAGTGAAGGATGTCATTATACTCAAGTAGATATAGTGATGGACTGAACATAGTGAAGAAAGATGATTCATGTAGCTGACTTCAAATGAATTGGAATAAGGGTTAGTTTGTTGTTGTTTATGTGATTTTCCTTCTTGTACAATAATATTGTCCTTTCTTTTGAATTCTTTGGCAGAAAGAACACACAAGTAACACTTATGTCTTCCTAAAACATAAAGTTTGTGTCAGGGAGGTAAGCAATATAGTGATGATAGGGGTCAGGAGAGAATATATGAGTTGACCGTGGCTGGGGACGGGGTTATATTAAGGGTCACCATGACTAGAGTCAAATCTGGATAAAGAAGAATTGAAGATGGCAATGCTGCTATTTATCCCACCCAAGGAGCAGTTAATAGCCATAATCTCTCATGAAGGTATTTTGTTGGTGGTGGGTAAAATGGTTATCAGGAGGAGAACATTAGCAGGTTGCATTGTGTGTGTGTGTGTGTTTGTTGTGTGTGTGAGGGGGGGGGGGGGGGGGGGGGGGGGGGGGGGGGAGGGGGGGGGGGGGGGGGGGGGGGGGGGGGGGATGAAGAGGGAGGAAAAGATCTAATTAGAGGTATATGAGCTACCAAGAGAAAGCAAAAAATAAGTGAAATTCAAGCTAAACATTTTAGATTGAGCCGTTAGAAGGCTAGAGTTCTGCATAATTATTGATGTTTCTACTGAGAATAAAAGAACAGGAATGAGCTCTGCATTTGAATTACATAGTGGTAGCGAATTGAGGTTTGGACTTCTGAGGCGGTATAGTTTGCTTTGCTCTTCAGGATTTGTGCACGTACACGCCCTTTTGATTTTTATAGATAGCCGATGATATCGTTCTGATTACATTAGGTTGTGCTCCCTGGCTTCCTTTGTTTAAATTTTCAACTTACCAAGAAAGTTTTGTATGAATGATTATGTTTGTCCAGGATATATTGGAGAGAGAGAGAGAGAAGAAGCTAGCAAACTATGCTCAAGTTATCATATGCAAATGCATGGAATAAAGATTTCGGTTATGAACTTTTTATTAGTCAACATTAACCCAACCATTTGCAGTAGCAAATGTGAGGAGACTGTGGCCATGATTACATCGAGCTTTTATTTATTTTCCTTTTCTAAATAGAAATTTATTTTGTGCTGATGACTTCAAGAGATTAATTAATTCCCTTTTGAAGCTTCATCATCCTCTGCAATGCTCTTAATCTTTTCATCGGTGGATGGGTACCAGTTCCACCCAAAGACATTCTGTTCCTGAGGCCACCCATGCTGATCCATTGAAGTTTCAAAATTCAACGCCAATGAACTCTCTTGGCAGCTCTTCTCATAAATCTCCAAGTTTCCCAATTCCACTATTGTTTCCAGTTCTTCATAGTCTTTCACATCAAAGTTTGCTTCATCAGTCATCATCTGGGGTGCAGTTTTGTATCCAGAAACTTGTACAGTTTCCTTAATATGTGTGCTGTTACGATCTGTCGTGGCTTTGGCCACCTCTGGGATCTCTTCTTGAGTGCTTTGGTGTTTATTCTGTGCATCTAGGTTGTCCATCTCTCTCTCTTTAAGCAGTAAAGGTTCTCCCTTTTTGAACTCTCTGTGATAGAGATAAGAGGAGGTTGTTCTTGGGTGAATAGATTATGCGTTTGTTGAATAGAATGGAGTGGTATATTTAAGGAGGGGGTATTTGCATTTTTCTTTGGTGTGTTTCATTTCTTTATTTTTATTATCTTGTGAAATCTTTCTGTTAAAAAGGTAAAAAACACTTTTCTCTTATGAATCATGGAACATTAAGGCGATTATCTCATTAGATATGTTAAGTACTGGGATTACATCAATAAGTAAAAGTTGGGGACTGAGCAGATCAGTGCTTATGTATGTGTTATTATTATGATAGTAGCTGAAATTAGCTGGCTTTGCCACTGAAATACTTGATGCTAATCTGCATGGATTACGTGGAAATCTCTTTGAAAGCTGGTTTGCAGCGTGTCATAGGGGATTGGTGTACACGTAGCAATGCATTAAATAGGTGAGTTCGCAGGCTTTGGCATTGAATCTCTTGATTGTGATCTGCATTGATTACGTGGAAATCTCCTGGTTCATCCACTTTGTGTAAATGAAATGGTTTGGAAGTATCTTCAGCCTTTGTACATGGTTTACATGGGAGACCAAGTGGACGAGTGAACACATAGTAGTGCAGTAAATAGGCGTTGAGTGGATTATTGGGACTTTCCTGTGGTGTCAGTGGACATTTCAGCTCTTGGCAGCTCTAAACTGGGGGCGGATACAGTGACGGGGAACCTTGGATCTGTCCGTGGTTTTCTTGTTTAGTTTGCTTTGTAGCCTGAAAATCTCATAAAGGTTGTAACAACTCAAATGATCCCACTTCATGACAACCCTCTCAACTCGCAAGAAAAACCTGGTCCGACAGTAAATGAACGTATATTCTCTAGATGGATAAAGATTTTTTTTTGAAAATTTTTGAACCCTCAGTAAACGAAATCCTAGACAGAAACCTGAATGCTACTCCTCAAACTACTCGGTCTATCTCTCCCACCCAATGATAATGACACAAAAATTGAGTGAACTGCGAGTCATTAAATTGAAAAAAGAAAAAATCAGTTATATGGTAGGATCCTTGTTTGTCCAATACCCCCATCATTAGTATTGGGATATCAAAAGGTTAGTGTTTGAAGACAAATGAACACTAAGATCTGAATGTTGAAATATAAGCTTGTTAGTAGAAGTATTCATCTAATTATCTAGAAATTTCATAATTCTTGTTTTGTTGGCTGAAGTCGATGATCTCTTTCTTCTTTTTGGTAAGTGGTGACAAATTGTTTCTTTTTTTTTCCTCATTTTGGAATATTTATTTTGCAATATTATGTGACATGTGGACTTTTTTCTGAGAAGTACCTGTATATACATGGTTCCTTCTAAAGTTTGCTATCAGATAAATTACTCTTACAATGGCTTTACTACTTTTATATGTTTATGGTGGTGCTTTGAATTATTGTCATATCATTTATAACACCGTTGTTGTAGAGGAATTGAGAAAATGCTGGTTGTTTGTGTAAATGGGTTAGAGGCTCAGGCCGGTTGGTGGAATAGGATGATGTGCATTAAATTGCCTGTAAAAATAGATGATTCATAGATGGTTAGTTGACTAAGGGTAGGATTAACTACTGGTTTTTCTGCAATCTAATGAACATGTTATGTTTAGAGGACATGTAATGTAGGCTTTACAACAGCTTCTTGCAGAATGCCCTGCATTTTTTTTAGTAGTAGTTATAACTTGCATTCGGGCTTTGTTGGGAAGCTGTAATGTTGAACTTCAAGGACACAAAAATAGCTGGGAAATATTTTGTTGAGCCTCTTAAAATAATGTAGCTGGGAAATAAAAATTGACCTATTATTTCTCCCTTTTCTTTTCAGGTGGATTTATTATACCGTTTGATGAATAGGTTGGCCGCTGCTTATTGAAAAATAGAATTCTTGTGTGTGTCCCCTCGGGTATCTCAATAAGTCTCTAGATTTACTACATTTTCTTGTAAAAAAGGTGATAACCTATGTACAACATTGTTTCTTGTTGGTCAAATATCATAATCTGATTATTGTAAACAATGTTGATTTTCAATTGAATTAGTAAGATAACGAGAAATGAAAACCTAGATAATCGAGGAAATTTTGATTACATCTATGTGAATCGGTTGAGTTTGTGTAGTAGTGTGTTTTTCGGCGAGGATTATGAGTTCTGGTGGAGAGTGATTTCCTTGGTTTTGAAGTGATTGGTACATTTATAAATAGGTATGTGTTGTTGACGTGACGATCAATGTTGACATGGCAGTGTTCAGTTATTTACTATTGAACTTTTTCCATCAATGAATCGAGTCTTGTATTTTCTTGAGCAATTATTGAATTTTTGGGATTGTATCTTTGACATGACTGTAACCGATCGAGGTCATTGCCGGACAATCGATGACACCATTGTTAGCATTTTCTTGTACTCGTGCTATATTACTTTTTATTATTTTACGTTGACCTTTCGAAATAGTATTGAAGTTATTAAGGAAAGAAAAATTAAGATAATTTTGTTTGGACACGAGGAGACTTTCAACTTTATGTCACCCTCCATCTCGTTAACATCTCCATAAACCAACCACTCTAGTGCTGAGGTCCATGTATCCAGTACCTACTTCAACAAATCATGGAATATTAAATAGTGAAAATTAAATTAGATCAATTCAAAATTATTAAATTTATAATAAAAAAGAAAAAAGAATCTTATCTGGTTCGAATCCTATTGGGACATGGAAACTGAAGCTATAAATACAGCGTCGATGTTCTCTGTTTTCAAAAAGTACTAATACTGCTGCTGCTGTTGCGTGTATTGGGAAGAAGAAAAACGCATTAGACAGCCAGAGTCAACGTTAAAGCTATTCGCATACTTCTACGAAATCTGCTGCCACCCACTTTTCACCAAAATTTTGCCTTTCTTCTCCCTTTTTTCATGTTTTTCAATTACTAATTCTTGTTTAAATCTCTGTACTGGAACTATCTCCAAAACCCTAAATTGGATATAACTCCCATAATTTGCAATCAATTGAATTGGGTTCAATTCTAATCATGGATATTCTCACAATCCCGAATTACCTGCTTTTGTTTTTCATCATGTATTTCATCCTCTACCTCAATGCCTATTTCATCCTTTTCCGGACCTGGACCCGGAAGCTCCGACCCGAAGCTTCAAGCTGTATTATTTCTCTAGCTCACGGCACTCCAGCCGTGATTCTAGCCTCCTACGCCATATTATCTGACCCGACCCGAAACTTCGATTCCCCGAACACCTCGTTTCAGAACCTTGTTCTTGAATACAGCATTGCCTATTTCTTGATGGATCTTTTGCATTACTTGGTGTTTTACCCAAGAGACATGCTCTTCATAGGCCACCATATGTGCACACTCTTCGTCTTCATGACGTGTCGTTACGTGGTTTTCCATGGTGCATATGCGATCCTGATGCTGTTGATTCTTGCGGAGATCACGAGCTTATGCCAGAACGTGTGGACCTTGGCGAGTGCGCGGAGATCGGATGTGAAGTTTGCTGCCAGAGTGTATGATTTATTGTCCCCTCCGTTCTATGCTTTGTACTCTATGATGAGAGGTTTTGTGGGACCTTATTTTGTTTATCGAATGTTTGTGTTTTATCTGAGTGGGGTCGCGAATAATGTGATACCTAAATGGGTTTGGATATCATGGATATCTGTTGTTGTGACGGCTATTTCTGTTAGCATATTGTGGATTTCAAATCTATGGATTGAGTTGTACAGTGAAAGGATGAAAAAAGTTGAATCGAAAAAAAAAAATAGATAGAAATGGAAAAAATTAAATTTGAAGGTCCATTTATGTAATGTTCTAAAAGGTAAATGAATGAAAGACTCTCATTTCAGTTTCTCTGCATTATGCTTAGTGATTGTTGCATTATTTAAATGTATTTGTGGAAAACTTACACTTTCTGTGCTGATGAATATCTTTGTAGTTTTGTTGTATGTTTCTCGGATTGGTGTAGTGAATGCTCAGTAAGCCTTTGTAGCTTATATTAGACCAAGAATTTTTACTGATTATGATTGCCTTAAATGTTTTCTGGATTCAACATTTTACATTTACTAATTATCTTGTTGGAGTGGGTAAAATTTATTGTTTAGGTGGAAAGATTAGGATTTGTAGTTATACTCTTGCTTGTTTTATAGTTCCCCTTGTCTAGTTATTCTAGTTACAACCACTGACGGGATAGAAAACCTTCTTCAATCTTGGGGCGGTGTTTACGATTGTATCCTATAAGGTAGTCCTTGACGGTCACAAACTAGACAGGTCAATTATCTTAAGTTACTCGATTTAGGCTACTTTTTTTCGGGTTGGCTAAATACTGAGGGATAGGTAATCAAGAATATGGTTTTGGTATTTATGTAAATTGTCAATGTAAAGCTAAATAAAATATTGTTTTCATATGTTTTCGTATAATGCAGATGCTTAAATTACTCAAAACATGAGTTCTTGTGGCCTTCCATTTTGAGGGTGGGATGGGGGTGATGGCATCATGTTTGTAGATATGGAATATTTTTATTATTTGTAACGAAGGAAAAACTTGATCGATTTGTTTGTTTGGTGGGAAGATGATGTGAACTTTTTGTCCAGACGGAAACTAACAGTAATTTTTCCAAATCAGACTTCTCCCTTCTCATTGTGCTGAGAAATTTCCTAGTTTTTGTTGGATTTTTTTGTTTTTTGAGAGTTGTTATACAAGCTCACCCCCCTCCTTACCTTCAGATCAATTCTTGTCTGATAATTATTTAGATAATTATGAGCAAAGACGTGTATGATACTATCCTGTGCTTATTAGGAACATACTGTGCAGCCAAAAGCAATAATAAAATGCAGCAGGGAAATGATGGGGGGCAATATTTGATATAGTTATGTTTATAATCAAAATAAAGGTACATAACAGAAGCAGTTAATTTCTCTTCAGCTGTTTCCATGACATATAAGTCGCTTGTTGGAGATGCAGGTCTAATGCCTATCAGGCAGGACTCACGAACTTCCCAGGACATTATTAGGGCATGTATTATTGCTGTCTTATTTGTTTTCTTTCGAATTTGCTTTTTAAGAGTAGAAGTGATAATCTTTCGATTGCAGTATGATGTTTCTTAGCCCTCCAATAGGTGATAATATCATCAAAAGAAGGCCAAGTATGATGCAAATCTGGAGAAAACAGATCCATTAGGCATGCACAATAAATCCAGTAACCATACAAAACTCTCAAATAGAGTATTTCCTTCACATACCCAATTGGTGAACCAAGATAAGCTAAATTTTTTCGGTTTGTAGATAGCAAACCACATTACACAAGGGAGCTGGAACAAGAGACATCAGTAAATTTAGCTGTTTATAAAATTTATCATTGTAATTATTTTGTCTTAGACATTAAATTGGAAGCAAACTAGTACTGATAATAACACTTACGAAGTATGTTGTTGGGGGAAAAGCGAATCCACCAAAAAACCCTAGTAAACCACCGAAGAAAGGGAAGGTTATGGCGATGAACATTGTGAATGCTGAAACGATACCACACATATATGTTAGACACATAACTATTTCATTTCACAATTTACTGACTGAAAGGTAATATTACTAACCCACATATATGTTGCGGGAGATGAACCGAAGGATAAAGCTGGGCTTGAAACGCAGCTTCTTCACCAAAACGGTTTCTATCATGTCAAAGACTGGCATTGCATAAATCTGCAATTGAAAATATGATAAGCCTGTGACATGATAGACGAATAAAAGAAACAATTCTAACTGAAGTTATATTATTCATGACGAAGAACAATCATTTCAAAATTACTGTCATTACACCTGGTAACTTCCGATGACATGGATGACAACAAACATGTTAACTGCTGCAATGAGCCATGCAGGTTTTTCTAGTGAGAGAAGGATACTGTCCTCTACTTTGTTCCCAAACATGCTGTAGCCAATTAGAGCAACTGGGAAATAGCAGAGGGCAAAAATGAAATAGGCTACCAGCACTCCTCTCCACATGGGTTTCTTAGAAGGCTTCCCTGGTGTTGAAGGGATTGTTGCTTGGATCTCTAACACCACATTGTGGCCGGCATATGCAAAAGCTATGTCGCCCAAGGCAGTGAAGAAATCAAACACCGTTCCAGCTCGGCTAGAGGCCGGGTAACCATATTCAACTCCCGGTTGTATGCCCTTGTGAAGAGAAGCTGTCCAAGCGATGGTGGAATATCTGTATGTATGGTAAGAAATACAACTAATTCTCATAATTTCCAATTAAGAATATTTTCTTTTTATTCTACTTTCTCTACAGAAAACAGAATATTATGAAGAATTTTATTAAAATGGAGAAAGAAGGGAGGGAATACGTTAAGGACATGACTGCAGCAGCCAAAGAGACCCCGGAGATGGAGTTGAAGTTTGGAAGGTGGGAGAGGACGAAATGAACCGAAGCGAATATCATTATAAAGTAAGTAGTTTTGATGCGTGTGCAGCTACCACATACTGTTTCATGGAATTTCTTGAGTGACTTTCCTCCAGTGACCATGTATACTATGTTGACTCCCACTTCAACAATTAATTGTTGTGGTACAACAATGTAAAGACCGAGCTTTTCACCAAACGCATGCTGTCCCAGTTCGTGGTAACGATCAAAACGTTTTCGCGGAACCATTTCGTGCATCTGAACCATTTGCCATAAGGTGTATAGAGTGATGATCCATGAGAGAATAAGAACAACCACACCAGGTCCCCTAAATTAATGTCCATAAATTTATAGATGAAAGGAAAATAATGAATCGTTTTCTTGAATTGACAGTTACATACCATTCGAGAGCTGCCATGGCATAGGGAAGACTCAGGACTCCCGCTCCAACCATGGCTGTGACGTTGTGAAAAGTTGAGTGCCACCATTTTGCATTCCTTGAAGAAGTGATTGGAAGCCAATCGTCAATTTCCTTTACCTCCGCTGATTTGTAAGCATTCTGCAATCAACAGAATTCTCTTCAATAATAAAATTCATTAAAAACTCCGCTCTTCCATTTTAATTTTGCGATTTATAATTTTCATTCTGCTTATCTGCACCCTATATTCACTAATGTTTCATCTGTAATACCAAAGAAAATTAAAGTAGTTGCAGCTATAGTTGTTCTGGTATATTGAATGATAGGTTGCAGAATATATGATGAAACCCTGAGGGGTGGCTCAATTGGTCAGACCTTGGGTTTGCTCCCCAATGGTCACCAGTTCGAGTCTCCTCAGGACCACTGAGGTGAGTACCCGGCCGTAAACTTCAGGACCCCATGGAATTAGTCGAGGTGCGCGCAAGCTGGCCCGGACATCCACGGTTATCAAAAAAAAAATATAGATGAAAGGAAAATAATGAATTGTTTTCTTGAATTGACAGTTACATACCATTCGAGAGCTGCCATGGCATAGGGAAGACTCAGGACTCCTACACCAACCACGGCTGTGACGTTGTGAAAAGCTGAGTACCTCCATTTTGCATTCCTTGAAGAAGTGATTGCCTGATTGGAAGCCAATCGTCAATTTCCTTTACCTCCGCTGATTTGTAAGCATTCTGCAATCAACAGAATTCTCTTCAATAATAAAATTCATTAAAAACTCCGCTTTTCCATTTTAATTTTGCGATTTATATTTTTCATTCTGCTTATCTGCACCCTATATTCACTAATGTTTCATCTGTAATACCAAAGAAAATTAAAGTAGTTGCAGCTATAGTTGTTCTGGTATATTGAATGATAGGTTGCAGAATATATGGTGATCGGTATGATCTATGTCACTTCCTATTGAAAATCGTTCATTAATTTCTGAAGTTCTAATGTTCAGCTGTAAGTGTGTGTGTGTGTGTGTTTTTTTTCTGGCTAATCAATAGAAACTATTCAGCTAAGGTAACATAATTTTGACTAGCCAAATTTGTATCTACAGAAAAAAAGTACAAGATCCACTAAATGTTTTGTGTGAAATAGAAAGAGTTACGTTAGATAGAAGGTGGGATTTTCCATTCACTGGAGTTGATGTGGGAATAGAAGTGTTGTCATCAGGATGTACGTTGGTGTCCATAGCTTTACTAGATGGAGGAAGATGAATCAGAAAAGTAAAGAATTATGGTCTTGTAGTTGTTCTGAACATAGAATCTATCAGTACATATTGTATGTTCTAATTATACATCTTTCTGCTTTTCAGCCGAAAGAATCTAAGGCAAGATGGTATTTGAGTTGTTTATAGGTCTTATTGTCACGTTTCAAGACATCTCATAGGGATTGTCATCGTACAGATATGTGCTGACATTGGAATGACAAAAATTTGGAAAGGAACAAAGTACACCACATTTTAACGTACAGCCTATTGCTGTAACTATCTGGTAACCTTGTGCCTGAATATTTTTATTCTTTCAGGTGTTTCTTTAGTCTTGTTGTATATAATAGATATGACATGTACCATTTCTGCATTATTTCTTTATGGGTTGCTTGACATTCATGTTCCTTGATTGTATACGAAATTCTGTGCTTAGCTTGGATAATATATAAGAATTGCTGAAGATCTGATATTTGAGAAGATGAATAATGCATCTCATTCACTAAATCATTCAATAATAGCAAGTCGAAAAGACATTTTTATACACAATAAATGCCGAAATAGAAGTTGAAAACTGTGAAAAGAACGACTAGGTTTTCTTCTTAATTTCATGGCTAAAATTCCTTTTCCATACGAAGCTGATACATCCAGACGCATTAACTGAATAATTAAGCAAACACACATCAATAACAGTCTTATGGAGGAGAACAGACATGTCCTCTTTGACATATGTTTAGAGAACTTGTACAAATTACTCTCTATGAGAAGATGTTTATGAGTAGAACTTGTAGTCTTTGGCTTGAAGTATAATCTGCCTTAGGGCTCCGATAGGTGCTACAATCATCAACAGAATGCCGAGAATGATGCAAATCTGAAATTCATAATTAAAAAAATTGAACCGATCAGTTTTTGGATCCCAACAGTAGAATTTAAGGAAAGTTGAAACAGAAGTTCATACCCAGTTTGTCCACCAAGATAGGCTGAATTTCCTTGGTTTGTAGATGGCAAGCCACATGATACAGGGCAGCTGAAGGGATGTGTTATAGTCAGTGTTATGCCTTTGCTAAATTGAAGAGTACCCTTCTATGCAATGCAATATTAAGTATAATAGGTGCTGAAAAAAAGTTGCTCACAAAGTATGTGGTTGGCGCAAAAGCAAAGCCTCCGAAAAATCCTAGAAGCCCACCAAAGAAAGGGAAGCTAATGGCAACAAACATTGTAAATCCTGTAATAAAAGAAAATGAAGACTTAAATGAACCTGCTGTAGAAGAACAGAATTACAGATCAGACAATACAGTAGTTGAAGTACGGTTAACATACCCACGTAGATATTCCTTGAAACAAAGCGTATATGCCAACTTGGCTTGAATTTTAGTTTCTTATAAAGCACAGTTTCTATCATGTCAAAAACTGGCATTGCGTAGATCTGTATGAAATCAAAAGAATAAAAGGTTATCGACTTTTTCTCTTAGATGAACAAATTTGAAGGAGAGAATTCAATTCACCTGATAACTCCCAATAACGTGGACCACAACAAACATGTTAGCCATGGCAATGAGCCATATGGGTTTCTCTAACGTGATGAGAATGTTGTCCTCGACTTTATTACCAAACATCCAGTACCCAATGAGAGCCACAGGGAAGTAGCACAATGCAACAACTACATAAGCAACAATCACTCCCCTCCACATAGGTACCTTAGAAGGCTTCTCTGGCGTAGAAGGTATTGTAGCTTGAATTTCCAAAACCACATTATGACCAGCATAAGCAAAAGCTACATCGCCCAATGCACTGAAGAAGTTGAAAACGGTTCCTGCTGTAGTCGTAGCTTTATATCCATACTGCACGTCTTTCTGCACTCCCTTGTCAACTGAAGCCCCCCAAGCAATGGTAGAATAACTTCATAGTAAAACATAAGCACATCAGGATGCAAGTTTTTCCTTCTTTATCTTTTTCCAGTCTACTAGTGTAAAGTATTTTTCCGTTGTATGACAAGTTTTGATTATGCAGTTGATGTTTTAGAAGAATGAAGGATGAAATGTCGTAAAATTCATTGGTGAAATACTATGGAATGTACCTCAAGGACATAACTGCTGCTGCCAAAGATACACCAGAGATTGAATTGAAATTGGGTAGATGGGAGAGCACAAAATGGGCCGAGGAGAAAATCATTATAAAATAGGTGAGCTTAATCTTTTTGCAGTGTGCACAGACCAAATCATGGAATTTTTTGAGTGATTTTCCTCCAGTAACCATGTAGACTATGTCCACGCCAACTTCAACGACTAGCTGTTGGGGCACGACGATCCACAGACCGAGCTTTTCACCAAAAGCATGCTGGCCAAGCTCATGGTATCTATCAAAACGCTTCCCCGGAACCATCTCGTGCATTTCAACCATTTGCCACAGAGTGTATAAAGTGACGATCCAAGATATGATCAGCACAGTTACTCCGGGCCCCCTGAACATATGAACAAAACATGCGAAGTTGAGTAAAGATGAGATGTTTGGTATATAGTAGTAAACAATTTCAGATTCTCCTAGAAAGGGTACTTTACCAGCCGAGTTCTGACATGGCAAAAGGGAGACTGAGGACTCCAGCTCCAACCATGGCAGTGACATTGTGAAAAGCTGAGTACCACCATTTTGCATTCCTCGAGGAAGAAATTGGTAGCCAGGCGTCTATGGCCTTCTCCTCCGCAGTTCGCTCATCTACCTACAAATTTAGTGATTGAATATGTGGTCGTAGCTCGTAAATGATCAAATTTCAGAAAAAAAAATTCATCTTTATGTCTTTCTGGTGATTATATTTCAGAGTCAATTGTCTGCTAATTTGTCTTATAACAATAGATCTAACAGAAACTAGTATGTGTACCCAGAATAGAATACAAATAATAAAGAGCCTATTGCCATACGTTGAACGCAGACCTTAAAACTTGTGTTGAGGTTCATTAATCTTTTGCCGGAATGAATATTCTACATATTTTTCCTTTCCATCTAGTAAATATCTATTAAAAATCTTCTACTTATTAAATAAAAAGAATTTCAACAGAGAAAATAATTACAGGATTTTGTCTCATGTTTTATGAAGTTGATGATGTATGCATACATTTGATAAGTTGAATTGGGTTATTTACATCCAAGCATTCAAGAAAAATCCCATATCATCTGTAATGACACGATGATGCATATAGTCAACACACTCATATGCACACACATGTAGAGAGAGAGAGAGAGACCTCGGAGTGGTACTTGTCATCATCAGGGCCTTGATTTCCCATGGAAATAAAGTTCAAATAATTGAAAACACAAAACCCAAAAGGAACCACCTCGTATATATAATGAAAGCCGATTCTCCAGTGAGGAAGAGAGGAGGAAGGAGAGGTTGAAATCTACGTCGACGTTTTGTCTGACTTGAACAGCACAGGCTCAGCTGTGTCTATATTTACATAGTAAATTACTTCCAGCCGGCATCGATACTTTGTTTAACCAGTAACCTATATAATAATACCATTTTTTCTTTGCATTTATTCAATATTTTCCTGATTCATAATTTATAGCATAATCTTAAAACTATGTTCTTTGCTGTTCAATATATTATGGAAAATGTATATACTATAAGGGGTTGACTGAGTGCTGGATAATAATTTTCATTTATTCTCTATAAAACACTCATAGATACGGTATATTTCTACCCCGTTTGGTTTGGCTAAAAAATAAGTTTTGGTAAAAGTGTGTGGTTGAAAAGTTAATAAAAAATTTTGAGTCCCATATCATTTTTGTTTTTGTTATTTCCATTTTCGAATAATGTGGAAAGTTTATTGAACACAAAATAATTGATGATTGAAATTTCAAAATTATTTGGTATAAACATTGATTAATTAATCTTATCATAGATTCTCTTCTTCAAACCAAATAAATGTAGCAATTTAGTTCATGTTTGATCCTCATTTTCTAAAATTCATTTTTTTTTCTCAAAATCTATTAAAAATATAATTTTTAACTAAACCAAACAGGGGCTTAGCATAATTACAGATTCATAGCAAGTTTAATCCCATTAAGATTCACTAGTAGAAATTGAATGCTATAAAATTGATGATCCTTCCAAATTAAAATAAGTTAGGGACTAACTTGCTACAACATAAATAAGTTGGGACCAATTGTACGATTGCTCTTACTTAAGCACATACATCTTATTTTGTTGACTGACTCTATTGAGTCGAGTCGTTATGGATATTCTAAGAATCCTCACTTTTCCACCGCATACTGTGGCACTAGTAACGCGTCTTAATTTCTCCGCTAATAATTCTCACTTTTTCACTCACGTAGTGCAGCACTAATGACGTGTCTTAATCTCGCTTGAATCAATAAAGAGATAATATTATTTATCAGTTTTTAATAATTAATTTATTTATTTTAGTTTACATAATACGTAACATTGTTCTTAATTCTTTAGAAAGTTTTGAACAAATATTCAACTTTTAATTTATTCAATTTTAAAGAATTAAAAGAAAAATGAAAATTCGCTTCACAACAGCTTGGAAGATTCAGTATAAAAAGAATCTAAATGGGATCCCATTAACTTAGTGGTAGACAACTTTAAACTAGTCGAGAGATATTTTTAGGACAATTGGATCTCAAGTCAACGTTTTGTTATCTGCCAAATTAAATGCAGACAGCAAAGCAATTAATTTTATTTAGAAATGGTCCCGAGTGAATAAAATAATGCCCGACTCTCGAGGTGTGTGTATTCGGTCATTTAAGATGTCAACCGGGATGTTAGTGTAGCACGGTTCTTAAATTTTTATTTCAATCATCTTTCATAATCTTATTTAATATAATTTTTTTTAGGTTTTACGAAAAATAATTTTTTGAGAAAACGTATTGCTAAAAGTAGAGAAAAATTTTGAATTTCAACGCAAATTATTATATTCGAACTGAAAATGAGTTTTAGAAAATAAAAATCAGACATTAGTTTTACTTTGACAACATCTCGATGCTACCTATTTTAAGACGTCGTTAATTTTCGGTCTCTCGCGCACAAAGACGAGTTTACATCACTTTTTGTCATTGAACTTTTTTTCAAAAATATCTCTTCTATTTTCAAGCAAGAAGAAGTAAACATAATTTTATATTTAAGTGGTTATTTATTTAAAATTTTTCATTTGAAAAAAATCGTATGAATGAAGCAAAGCTTGTAAACTTCCTTAACAATGACTTATTCCTTTTAATAAGTTTCCTATCTTCTTCAAATCTTTTAGATATATTAAATTACAACGTGTCGTTATTATTACTCACAGAGTAACGTGTGGTTCAAGAAACCTTTGCAAATTTTATATTAATCGAAACCATTCTTTAAGACATAAAAAATAATTCTGTTTTTATTATTTTAATTTAAAAATGGTGGAGAAATTGGTGTGAAAAGTCCTAGTACTAGAGTTCCGCCTGGACAGTCGGAAATAATTGAAATTTATTTGTCCTTTCACACGATGCAATTTCGCATCGGAATATTCAATTCATACTTTTTTTTTTTTTAAATTGAATGGAAATTCATTCAACAAATCAAAGTTACAAATGTGACTTATCAATACAGGAAACACGACAATAAGCCAACCTACGCAAACTGTACTTGAGCACCCCTGCACATAGAGTGGCAGACATTGTCTAAACTTTAAGATCTCTCCTAAGAGAGCAAAAGCACTCTGCAAAGTAAGAGTCTCAACAATGGACCCAGAGTCCAAAAGTCATAACAACACAAATACTAACTAAATAATAAACTAAACACCACCAAAAAACAACACAGAAAATCCAAACAGCAAGAACCGTCGGACGTCGGCAGAGCCTCGACCCCCCAGCCCACAGCAATTAATACTCTTTTTAAATGTATATGTTTGTCAAATCCTACTAAACAGGCTCTATATATGTTTGTCAAATCCAAATGAATCGGCAAATAAGTATATAATCAGTGTTCCCCATATTGGATGTTGACTTTTGATGACAAATTCTTTGAAATTTTCCATCATTTTTATAGGGTAAATTCCATTAGTGGTAGTCAGCGTCAATTGAGAAATTCTAAGTCAATTTTATTTTATTACGGGGAAATGATGATCGGCAATAAAAATGAATATAAACTGCAATTCCTATTAGCATAAGACAAATGTTGACTTCAAATTCAATCTTTCGAATTTATATAAACTAGTGAAATCAAAAAATTGATATAGAAAATGGCATTATTCGGAAAAATTGATGAAATGGGCCCTACCCTAATTTTAATGGAAGAGCATGCTTGGAATTACCTGTTGATATTAACCTAATAGAATATTTGATAATTATTTATTTTAAAAAAACATTTGAGAAATTGATTGTTTTGGAATTTTCTCTCTTGAAATCACAATTGATTATTCTTCGGCTATATTTCACACAACACTTGAAAGAATTGTGGGCCAAACTTCCAGTTAAGCCCACCGACACGTAATTGGGCCTAGCTTATTAATTAAAATTGTACCGAATTTCACAACAAACAATGTGAATACAAACTCACGTGTCATTTCCATAATTGCTCAAAAGAAAATATGTCTTTTCCTTATCAATCATTTAAAAATTAACTGGAGAAAAATACTGTATAATTTCACAGTATGAACTAAATCAAAAACTCTGAGAATCTTGAAAGTGAATTCGGAAATCTCCTCATTCTTTAGTAGTAATGGTTGCAAGCCCTACACATGCATTGAAATAGTCACATTATACTACTGCAAAAACTATTTGAATATGATTTTCAATATAAGGAGTATATTCCGTCACCGGAAATTATCAAAATTACCTGCCGGCGGCAGCCATTGGAGTAGCATCGTAGTAGTAGTTTGAGTTGTATTCCGGCAATGCCCTTCTCAATGGATAGTGTTGGTATGAATTCGGCCATATTCCTCCAGGCAAAGCACTCTGGTGCCAATAGGGTTCATTTAGGGAACCATATCGAGAGTACCCGTAACCATGGTTGGAATTATATGAACCACTATAATAATCATAGTCGTTGTAATAACCTCCTCCTCTACCAAGTCTTGGGTGATCGAGTTTGGTATATACAAGCTCAGCATGTTGTCCAGTTCTAGCTAATGCTAACAGACATAAATTCGGATCTACCTCACCTGTAATCTTTGCCGTCCCTTCTTCTGCACTAATCGTGACAGAATACACACCTTGCAAAATGTAATAAATAAACACTGAAGATTAAACAAAATATTCTTTAAGCTCAAGAATTAAAATATAAATTTATGTAATCTCCAGTTGAAGTGACAAGATTGACACTATATATTTAAAAAGGATTGTACTGGATGAAAAATAAAGTGATGTTCTACACCTTAACGTGGAGGTGAGTAGGTATCAGTAGAACAAATGTTGTAATTAATTACCGCAAATGGAGTTCAATACTTCCAATGTCTTTCTCTTACATGCATCACAACGGGTATTCACCTTCAAAATACAACACTGCAATAACACAATATATGAATTTTAATGATTTACATGTACATAGAACATGTGCTGAAAATTTTGAAAAGAAAAGGCGTGAAATTTAATTACCAAATTCGCATAGGGCTCCATTTTGTTCACCAATAACCTTAACTTCTGCTATCAATAATCGTGGATACTGCGGACCTGTTTGTCTTAACCAATTAGAAAATGGTGTTCGAGTAAAAAGATAATTTCTCTTGCTTTTCCTTTTCCTCGTATATCTAGTACGTTGCAAATGAAGTTAGTACTCTAAAAGAAATCCCACAAAGTACAAAATCAAGATTTCAAACAATGGAGGTACCTTTGGTCGAAAGATGGACACAGACAGAAGAAAGATGGAAATTGAAAAATGAAGAGGGTTATATAATAACATGCATATATGCGTTCTTAGGAAGGAGATATAAGACTGGTAAGTTTAAGGAAGGAAAATATAATTGAGATGGAAGGGAAGAAAATATATATATTTCTTCCTTTTATTGATTTTCTTGCTTTTTTGATTGAAAAGACATTCAAAATCAAATTCATTACGAACTATCCAAAACGCTTTAAAAGGGAATAAATATTTTTTTCAATATTTTTTCTTCTCACTTACGATTAAGCCCGTGTTTGGTCCGGATTAAAACTCAAGTCAAAGTCAAACAATCAATATTAATCATCTCTTTCAGGGATCCCATAACTTTTCAACCACACATTTCAAAATTTTCTATCACAATCTACTAAAAATCTAATTTTAATCCCCACCAAACACCATTTAAGGTTATTCAATATCACTTTCAAAATGAATGACTTGTATCTAACATTGACCAACAAGAAATTATTTAGCCCCTGTTTGGTGCAAATTTTGGGGGAAAAATACATTTTTTTGTTTGATGTGATGGGAAATATGTGGTTGAAAAGAAAGGAGAAGTTATTGATGTGATGTAAAATATTATTTTATTGAAAAATGTATGGTTGAAAATGAGTAGAAGAATGAAAATGAAAAAAATAATGTGGACTAAACATGAGCTTAACTCAAAAAAGTACACTATTACAAGACTCATTTTTACAGAAAATGGGATTCAAATATAGCCTTAATTTCCAATCGCCACAAAACAAAGGAAGTTTGATATGAAAAGCCCATATATATTATCAACCGGCAAAGGAGTGAATATTGGTTTTGCATGATAGAAATTTGATCCGATTTTGATATGATAAGTGAAAGATTGTGTTATTTGAAGCGTCACTTCCAACAGTGATTCCACTGCCACATTCTCATACATGAATACTGCTTTGGTTTGCTCAATTGATGTGGGAATAAAATAAATAAAACAACACATTCCAATCAAACTATAAATTGAGATAAACAAATTAACACATTCCAATTAAATAACAAACTCTAACTTGAGATGGTAAAACCACAATTTTCATTCGCAAAGAAAAATCAAGTTCTAGACTCAAAGATAAGCTCTCCCAGAGAAAAGTGACCCCAAAGTAACTTCTCAGAACAGCTCTATTATTAGGGCTCTTAGAAAACTGCGGAGGATGCGGAGAAAATGTTTCCTTCATCAATATGTAATCCAGGCCAAAATAAATCAGGCAACAGATGCCATGTGGCGAATCAAGTCAACAACGCGGTTACTGCAAAATAGAGAATTATATTGTAATTGCAATAAATAGGCCAACTCAAGAAAATCGAACATAAAATATTTCTATTCCACTCAATTCAGTGCATACCTGTAACCCCATTCATTGTCATACCAAGAGACGACCTTCACAAAGTTGCTGCTGAGAGCAATTCCAGCCTTAGCGTCGAAAATGCTTGACCTGCAAAATGCAATTTCAGAATTTGATCACGCGATGCAAATCACATTAAGGAGATGACAAATGACAAGTAGGAGATTAAAAAAAATTAAGGTAACAGAAGATATAAGACCAAATGAAAGAGATATAGATAAATCTACAGATGATAAGCAGACTGCACAAGGAATGAGTTAACTTGGGGTCGCACCAGCCTATGAGAAGGATAAATTACAGACCATGTCCATGAAAATTGATTGGAAATATTTACGAAGTCCTCACCTGCTATCACCTACAAAGTCAGTTGATACAACATCGTCTTCTGTGTATCCAAGGACACCCTTCATTTTACCCTCAGACTCCTCCCTGAAAGTGGAAAACAAAAGTTTACAGAAGAATATTCAAGAAAGGGTGGAATGAGGTTGTCATTACAAGCCATGCAGCAGGGAACGCTGAAAAAAATATGAGAATGAAGTATGAAAAAAAAAAATCATGCTGATCCTTACTTGAGAGCAGCTTTAATTTCATCATATGAAGCTGCTTTTTCAAGCCTTACGGTTAGATCAACCACTGACACATCAACAGTTGGGACACGGAAAGCCATCCCAGTAAGCTTGCCATTTAGAGAAGGAAGTACTTTCCCAACGGCCTACGAGATTAATTGTATTAGAAAACTATGCAAGCATATGATGGCTGGAAAACAACTCTGACATCAAGGTGCATACTGCATAATCTCAATTCTATAAATAAACATGCATTAACGGCAATGAAACTGTTCCATGCCAAAGCTCACAACGCCTTCATTTCGAGATACTATCTATTTGTGTAATGGTACACATCTTCATGTATTTCATCTATCAAAATATTATTCGAAAAGGTAGGTAAGATAATAAATGACACCAAATAAACACAAAGGTTGGAGGGTCAATTTTATTCCACAAATTGCAAGTCACAATACCTTGGCAGCTCCAGTACTGCTGGGAATAATGTTGAATGATGCAGCTCTTCCACCTCTCCAATCCTTCTGAGATGGACCATCAACAGTCTTCTGTGTTGCTGATTCATAAACCAACATCAATCCCAGTTCATACCTATGTCAAAAACTCCTAAGAGAATCATATAATTACCCGTAATGGAGTGAACAGTTGTCATTAGACCCTCAACAATACCGAACCTGTCATGAAGAACCTGTCACACACTCAATAGCATTAGATCAAGGTCAGTTTCAGTTTATCATGGAACTTAAATGATATCCATGGTACCCTGGGCAACTTAGAAGAGAACATACCTTTGCCAATGGAGCAAGACAATTGGTAGTGCAACTAGCATTCGAGACAATATCGACATCTGGCTTGTAATCCTTCTCGTTGACACCAACAACAAACATGGGAGCATCCTTACTTGGGGCAGAAATGATGACCTTCTTTGCACCTCCCTGGGAATCAAAGGATAGAAACAAGAGAGCATCAACTAAACATTACTATCTTATCATCCTAAATTTGTAAAACCAAGAAATTCATATCCTGTGGCAAATGTAAAAGTATGATGTTTCATATTTCTGAAATTAACTAGTTACAAGCGAGTAAATTATGAAATACAACAACCGAATTTGACTTTTGCTAAATGTGGATAGTAGTTCCAATAGAAGAATGGTTCTATACAAACCTTCAAGTGGGCCGCAGCTTTGTCCTTGTCAGTAAAAACTCCTGTTGACTCGACAACATAATCAGCTCCAGCTTCAGACCATGGGATCTCCTCTGGGTTTCTGTGCATCAAACAGAAATTGTAATAAAAATGGAAATAGTCAGATATTTATCAATCAGACAAGGTGATTGAGAAATACCTCACACCAAAGACGGTGACTGGCTTCTCACCAAAGAGAAGGGTATTGGAATCCTTAACCTTAAGCTCATGTTTTTTCCATTGACCATGAACACTATCATATTTGAACATGTAGGTCTGTTCATTATAGCGCAATAACCAAAATTGAGAAAAAAATTCAGTAAGCTTTAAAAGCCAGCAAGAGAAGCAATTAGAATAAAGGCAGAAGAAACTATTCCTAGATAGCCATTAAAAAAAAACAAAGAAGAAGAAGAAGCTAAAACCTCCATGCTAATTTTCTCCATAGGTCAGAAATGTGAGATCGGCACTGATACATAGATGCATTTAATTACTGGTATGAGTTAATCAAGTGAATAACACTGATCTGATTTTTTCTGGTCGACATACACAAAAGTTAATGAATGGAAAAATCTCTGTAAAGTGAACTTTGCCCAGTCAAATAACACGACACTTATTAAACTTCAAGGAATGCACTGAAGCAATTCGGAATCACACTGTACAAATAATTCACAATGAAACGCCATAACCAGTGTATACATCTCCCTAATTGGTACGGAATCTGTTAATCAGTGAGTCTATTATCCACCAAAAGGATCCAGGGATCTCACATTTGATAACACTTTTCACGTTAAAATCAAGCTAGTTCGATAAATCGATCCGATTTTTCACAAGTAAAAATCGACATGCAACGTGCAGATCCAGCGAATCACATAAATGCAGATACCATTGTTCAGTAAAGAAAGTAATTACCATGTAATCTGTGGTAATGAATGGATCATTAACAGCGACAAGTTCAACATCATCGCTTTGAAGTACAACTCTGGCAACCAAACGCCCAATCCTTCCAAATCCTAATCAGATAAAGCATTCGAAATAGGCGTTCACAAATAGTGCAAAACTAAAACAGAATGCGGATGGGATTGAATGATAATTAAAATTACCGTTGATTCCGATCTTTATTTTAGCCATTATGCAAGCTTGATCTATAAAGCAACGGCACAAATACTTCTAGCGAAGAACAAAAGTGCTCAGGAATAGTGAGAATGAGTTATAGGGTTGTGTTTTTATATATAGAGGGAGGAGCAGAGGCAAATGAATCGCGTTACGATCTAAATGCAAGAGGCGGGATTGTCGAGGCGAAACGGTAGCGGGACCACTTATTGGCTCACGTGGCTGTCGTGGATGGTAACGGCACATTTGAATACTATGTCGTTTAGATGTACAGACTGGTTGCCTTTGGCCGACGGACTTGTCAATGTCGTCGTGAGTCGTAATTTTAAAGCATGTTTAGGAAGAATTTATAAACAATTTAAATTATATTTTCTAAGAAGAGTTTTTATAAATAATTAGGAAGAGTTTATAAATAATTTAAACTATAAATTGATAAAAATGAGTAGTAAATTCGTGAAGAAAACTTGTGAATTTATCAAAATGTGTGAATAAAATGACTTGAATGTTTATAACACATGAGCACACCAAAACCTGTATGAAAGGCATCGCTCGATTTTATTTCCACAAATATTTCCATCGATGTACATAATGCTACTTCTCATCAACCTCTGAAAGCATATCCATAAAATAAAAACTAAAAAAACATGAAAACGTAGAATAAGCGTGATCACGGGAGGGCGTACACTTAGGCACCATCCTCTGTTCTAGATACCAGCAGTTGCGACACCAGTTTTTCTACGATCATCTTTAGTGCAGGAGCACTTGTGCTGCATTTGCTATCATCAAAGCAAGATCTTCCTTCTTCAGCTACTTTACACAACTGAGGATCTAAGGGGACCTTCCCGAGAAAAGGGACGCCCATATCTCTACACATTTTGGCACCACCACCAGCACTACTATCGAATACTTCGCTGAATGCAACCAAATTTAGCATTTCTGGTGCCTTCTCTCTCATATACGCAATAACCCACTCTGTCATGTCTTTTTGTTCACCCGTCTCTGTCAAGTGCATGAATCTGAAATTTGACAATGGTTGGCATAGACCACTCATGTTCTCAACAACTCCAAGAACCTGTAGCCCGACCTTTTTGCAGAAACTTACTTCTTTCCTCACATCTATGAGAGACACCTGTTGTGGGGTGGTAACTATAATGGCGCCGTCTATTCCAGTTGCTTGGAGGAACTGAACGATCGAGATATGCTCATCCGATGTCCCAGGTGGTGCATCAACCACTAGAAAATCAAGCTCCCCCCAATAAACATCCTTCAAGAATTGTTTGATGATTCCATTCTTTCGGGGACCCCTCCATATGACAGCCTCATCAGGATGGGGCAACATGAATCCAATTGACATGACCCCAAGGTTTGATTCGACATAAACAGGTGACCATCCAAGGTTACTCTGGTGAATCTCTTGTCCTTCAAGACCAAGCATCTTCGGGATGCTTGGACCACAAATATCAATATCAAGGAGACCCACCTGGAAATCCATAGCTGCCAGGGCGAAAGAGAGTTGAGCTGAGAATGTACTCTTGCCAACACCACCCTTGCCAGACAAGACCAGTATTTTATGCTTTACTGTTGCCATTCTTTCAACAATTGCCACCAAGTCTACAAAAAAATAAGAATTAAAAGAAAGAAATAGTTATAATTTAACGACATATAATCAATAAAACAAACGTAATAGCTTTAGCATCACGCTGCTTTTTTTTTTCTTCAGGGGTGGAAGAAAAAGAGAGGAATTTGCTTCCTAAAGACAGCTATGTGAATCAAGCAGACAACCTAGTAGAGGAACACTAGAGCGGGTCAGTTCAAAAACCTGATCTAACCATATTTTTGTATATACTGTCAGATACTCTAGCAAAAACTTCCCAGTAGCAATCACTAATTTCATAACAGAAGTAAATAAACAGCTAAGACATCCTTCCATGAAAGACTCACTCTCCCTTCTTTTATTATCTCATAAAGCAGGTCACATTTGTAAGTTGTGTCATGCTTTACCAATTAAAGGAGGCTCCTAGAGCTTTGTTTGGCAAATTTACCTGTACTTAGGGTCAACTTGGATTTTGTAGTTCTGACAATGCATCTGCAATGTTTTCGAAAAGAGGTTCACAAGGGTGCATTATTTCATTGTTATATGTTGATGATATCATCGTCACTAGTGATGATGAGCAGGATATATGTGATCTCAACTCTCAAGCGACAACTTTATGCTATTTTAAAATAAAAAATTTGCGATATTGGAGATATTTCTAGGTATATACGTCGCTTTCTCTTTGCAAGGTTATATTCTTTCTAAATCCAAATATGCGCTAGATATTATAACTAGAGCTAGGTTATTTGAGACTATTTCAGTTGATACTCCTATTTAATTGAACCATAAACTCATTGTTAGTGATGATGAACTTTGACTTATCCTACTAGATATAGAGATGTGGTTGGTTCTCTTGTCTATTTATCTCTTAGTGTTGACAATACATGTGCAATTCATGTGGTAAGCCACTTCTCATCAAGGGTTATTACCTTCTTCATCCAATCTTACTCTTCAATGTTGATTGGGCAGGTCATTTTTCTGATTGAAAATCTACAACTGGTATTGTATTTTTATTTTTTTTTGGGTGATTCTTCAATCTACAGAGTAAGACTAAGAAATTGCTAGCTGTGTCTAGATTGTCAATAGCGACAGAATATTGAGCAATGACAAGTAATTTGGCCGAGATTATGTTGTTTCAAAGATTACTAGATGAACTTGATACTCCTCTATCAAATTCAACTCCTGTATTTTATGACAATCAAAGTTCCATGCAAATTGCCAAAAATCCAGTTACTCATGAGTGCACCAAACATATTGAGGCCAACTGTCACTTTGTTCGTCGACCGTACTTGGCATGTTTAATTTCTCAACCTTATACGCATGTAGCAGAAATCTATTAGAGTGCCAAATCTAAGACCAAAACCTGGATACAGCCTAAGAACTTCCTCACACGTCACACCACCTATACCTGCCCATCTAAGTTGGGAAAATGTAAAATTACATCAATAAGCATCTCATTTGAGAAAGTGGACAAATGAAATTCAAACACAGTTGATTTCTTCATATTCCAACATCTATAGAAATCCAAGAAAACCTTTTGAACTCAATCACCAGATAGGATATCCCACTCTTCGAACTCTACCATCTGATACGATGTCGGAAATAGTTGGTATTGAGATATTCCAAAAAGAAAACACATCACACTTGTAAAACGCAATTACCCCAGGAAAAAATATCCTTGCTCAAAATGGACTACCGGTTATCCTATTACATAATTCACTATTTTTCTATTCAGTCTTTTGGAGAAATTCAGCCCCTGTTTAACAACCATTATTTCAAAACTCTTTAATTCTCATATTCATTTCAACCGCACATTTTCCAAAAAAATCACTATTCAAAAATTTATTTTCTCAAAACAATGGCCATCTAAATTCAGAAGTGTTTTGCATTCAACTCGGGTATAATAATTTATAATTCACATAAATATTATTTATTTTTTTATAAATACAGTTCTTCCTATGACCGAACAACACACTCCTATTACTGGGCAAATCAATTAACAGTATATTTAGAGCAAATAAAAAAGGACACAAACATGAAGTATCCCTCCCATTAATTCTAAAACCCATAAAAAAGGCTAGAATTAATGGCTAAGTGGACCTGGGTCAGGGCCTTTAGGAGCAGTAGCACAAGCCTCTTGGTTTGGGCAGCCTTCGCAAGAATCAGATTTTCCGGCCGACTCCGATTGAGGCCCTGGACAATCTATAAATCCAAAAAATAAAATAAAAAATCTGAGAAGAACCTAAATTCAACAACTCTGAAACTGAAAATAACGGAAATTGCATACGTTCGTTTGCGTTTTCAGGTATTTCGTAGCCTCCATTTTCCATTTCTAGCTGTTGATTTAGTAGCTCCTTCTTCAAAGATAAGAAGAAAAGGAAACTGTAAACCGTTTGAAGCAAAGAAATATTCACAATAGAAGAAAAACAGAGAAAATCGAAGAGAAAAATTCAATGAGTCGGTGACTTTTGTGGGCTTTGTGA